ATGATTTCAGCTTAAGGTAAAGAACTTTTCCCGTGCGGTATTTTTTGCCGATAATTTGCATAATTTGAAAGATTTTGGTGTTGTTCTAGAACTGTTTTTGCATTGTTTCAGACCGCATCCTGTTTCAAGTATATTGGCTTCTGTTTCCTTCATCCGGACAGCTATCCGCGCAACATTGATCCACAGAAAGTGTTCGCCATGGTCTACACCATCTAGTATGGAACATCGTCCCCTTCCCCCCACATCCCCCGTATCAGTATTCCCCCTGTATTGTTCAACAGTATTTCATGCAATTTGTAGAATGTTCATAGTTCGGCATCGTATTTTTTATCCCAAAATATGCAAATTATTGAATGGTTCATGATTATTTTCCGTATTAGTTTAGAATTATTATTTTGTGTTCTGATATTTTTTTATAATGCGTGTAGATTGGACTGCAGTGACCCGTGATAAGCAATTAGTAATAATGTAAATTAAGACAGCATTCTGTGACATATTAAGAGCTTTCTGATTTCATCTACTGATTTAGGCCTCCTGATTTAGTGAGTTTTTTGAATAATTTTGCTCAAAAATTGATAAAATTTGAATATTTCATTGCACCTAGTTCATGAAAATCCCCTCGAACGTCGATATGGAATTCACAGATATTCATAAAAATATCGAAAGTAAATTTTCGAGCAGTTTTGCTAGGGGGTTTTCTGTCTTGGATAACCTCGCCGCCTAATTCGGTATTTGCAGGATCTTGTCTTAGTGATCTTTTTTTTTTTTATCCGAGGAGTACCAAGCGATTTTCCGTGAAATGTGAGAATTTTTTGGCTCATAAACTGATAAGAACTGATAAAAATTTGAGTTCACACGATTACAAAGTATTAGAAAATCAGAAGCACAGTAATTACAGATAATACTCTCTGTTCTTTGATGGTCATCTACGGTGTGTGGTACTTTTGTATCCCTTCGATTTCCCGTATTCTTTGTAACTCGTATTTTTCAGATTTTCAAAGTTAATCATTTTATCTCTCGCACAAATCGTGTTCTCTCTCGCTGATTTATACCTTCTGCTAAACATTCTCATATTCATTTTGTACTTATTTTTATACAAAATAAATATAGTTGGGCCTATGTTTTGTTCTACATCCCCAATGGTTTAAAACGTGGTTTCACGTGCACCTTTTTTTTATCAATCCCATCTTAAGTGGACTAGATTTTCTCACGAGGGGTTCCGGCCAGACTT